CTGTATACCAGGGGTTGATCACTCCTCCTCTTGTTCAAAACACCGGCTACGGAGCCTACACCTTCTTCGCCGTCTTTTGTGGACTCGCCTTTGTTTTCACATTCTTCGTAGTCCCGGAGACATCTGGCAAGACTTTGGAGGAGATGGACCAGGTTTTCAAGGATGTCAGCAGTGAGGCAGAAGAGCAACAAAAGGCGCGCATCATGCGCGACATCATCGCAGGCAAACAAAACGAGACTGTCACCACAACCGCAGTCCCTTGAAGCAGGACAATTGCTCAGCAAGGAGGCCAGTAGATTTTGTAATTAGCGAGACAATTATTCGGTTTATTCTTATCACAGCTTCGCGCACTACGATTGGAATTTGAATGATACAATCGATCGAAGGACTGGGCTTACGATGCGCAGTCTCATAGTGCACGATGAGCGGGTCGCTCCTGCTCGCCTCCGGTGAAAGACGTTGTGACATGCGACGTACGTGCAACGCAAACTTCTTGGCTCGCTACCTCGTATCATGATGATTGTTTGGTTGAGTATCGTATTGTAACGATGACCACGCAACGTCGCGATGGATGTAATGATGCTATTCGATTGCGCCCGGTTTGCCTATTCGAGAACACGAATTTCCGCCTGACGAGATCTGGCAATGGATATCTAGACGTTGTGATGAGCGCTACATGTTAAGGGAAATGTAGTGCAGAACAAAGACATGATTTAGCATGTGCATCTCATGCTAGTTGCGTAAGACATGTTTGTCCGGAGCAATCTTGTATTTGACGCCTGAAGCCATATCTATACTGCCTAGGTACGCCAAAGCTGAGCTGCATTCAGAAGCATCGCGGAAAGAACACCTGGAATGTAAAGACGCATGTCATCAGATTGACAGGTGTACGCGTGCTTTGCTGTTCAAACACCTCGCCGAGTTGTGCGTCGAGCTCCATGCTCCCTGTGACGTAAAAAGATTGCCTTCAAAAGGAGCTCCGCGGGAGAGAGCGCATCACCGCTCTGCCCCAGAAAACACGTACGGCATTGCCATCTTCTACTTTCCACCCGTCATCGTGCTCGTGCCATCATTTCACTCCCAGATCCTCGATAGCCGATTATCTCCACGTTCTGCGCCAAATTGCGAGGCTTCCCATCGCCAAACTTTTGCAGCTGGGCCGTTAGGGTTTCCCAACTTTCGCCCCGCGCCACCCTTCCCAGTACAGCATCATGACCCGACTGACTCCAAGGCCGCGATAATTCCGTAGAACTGCGTGTTGGTTGTCCCAGCACCGATTCCAATGCAAGGTGTGCATAACACACGGCCTCGTTCGCATCGCCTGGTATGCCTATATCGTCGAATGGCTTTGTGATCACGCTCTCGGGGAGCTCCGCTTCGAGGTAGTCTATGATGTTCGCGTTGCGCGCACTCGGGCCGCTGATGAAGAGTTCGTCGACGTCCTGGCCGGCAGGAAAGCGGAGCGCGAGGAGCCTGCGATACTGCTTCAAGATATTCTCGGCCGTTATACGGGTAACGGTAGCGATTATGTCTGCTTCAGAGAGTTTCATGAAGATGCACTCATCAACGACTCGTTGGGCTTCATGTTCACCAAACATATCCCGGGCTATGCTTAAAGAAGGCAAGACGCGAGAGTAATCGTGCGTCTGGAGGAACCGTGTGACGATAGCTTGATTGGGCTTCCCCGGCGCTGCATACTCCCCGTCGTTGTCATTGTTCCGATCGTTTGAAGTGCAGTACTTCATGGCGTAGTCAATGAACACGCTTCCAGGCCCGCAGTCGCGACAATTTGTCCCTCGAGCATCTCCCTTCGACCGAGGAGGAATGAAGCTACAATTCGCAAGCTCGCCAATGTTCACACAAGCTCGAAACTTGGAAGAGTGTCTCAAGAAGAGTTGATCAATGTAGGCGACGGGGGAAACTTGAGGTCTCAAAGACCCAGCTTCAATGACAGCAAAGTCGAAGACAGTGTTGACACCAATCTCAGTGTTTATATTGGCGTTCCATCCCAGCGGGTGCGTGCTCAGGTCGTTTGTTTCAGGCATGTCAGGTCGCCTCAAGCCCGATGTGTGTGTGCCGACCAGGTTTATGGATGCGAGTGGTATGCAATGCTTCTCACAGAAAGTGGTAATGCCATTGGAGAACAAGTAACCGAGCAGCGCGTTGAGGCGTGTCGCTAGTGAGGAGTTGCGCTCAACTTCGCGGATGGAAGTGAGGATGTGGTTTCGAACAGGAGGTGAGGTAGGTAGCGAACCGCACTATCGTTCGTCAGCATTTGCAGGGCGACAGTATGAACAACACTAACTTGGATGAGTTCTAGATACAGCGTAGCACTAGGGGAGGCTTGCAGATACCGGACCAGCGCGAAGTCAAGCTGGTTTAACCCACTTCCGCAACAGACCCCTAGAATGCGGAGGTCCAATGCACTCTTCATGGTCTCTCTCGTATGAACCTGTAGGCTTCCATGGTCTGTTGCTGAGTCGTTGCGACGCATACTAAGCTTGACTGTTGTTCAATCAAGAAGTACACATGAGTGCTTCACATCCGGAGGCGAAGATTATCAAATGGTAGAGGCCCGGAGGTACCTAGGCAAGGGGGGACTTGTCCAGTGGCGTCCGACTGAGGCGTCACCCAAGGCATCTCGGGTTATCGCCCCATAAGGGGCTTTGCAGAGAGGAATGCATGCTAAAGGTACGCTGTGGGGTGGATGGGTATCCGTGTCGCGCTATGCAGATCTCAACGGACCCGATGAGGACTTGATGTACCAAGACTCCCGTGACCGGGCTCTGGCACCTCGTTACGACTTACGCGAAGGGATTGGCCCGGGACAGATATCCGGCCGTGAAATGACGTAGCTGCTCAACGGTCATCCCTTCAACATATCAAGTCAGCAACCAGGCACATGCTAATCAACTTCGCACGGGAAGATGCGCTTTGTGTTCTTCATTGCCGGTCTGCTACATACCTAGCAATTGATGGAATGCAGGTATAACGCGTTGTACAAGGCCATATGCATCACAGTAATATCTAGGTGATACTCACGTAGCGCTCCCAGACGTGCAATAAGCGACCGCAGCTGCCGGATATCGGTGCTTTGTTGCGAGGCTTTCGGATGCAAAAAGAGCTTCTCGTCTTGGCTTCAGCCAGCTGCCTTACGGTCAAACTGGTGGTGGCATGTGGGACGAAATGCAAGCATCTGTTGAATATCCAAGATCGACAAGACGCGTACTATGGCAAACAGTACGATTTATGATACTACAAGGGGTGCTCTAGCAAGGTTTCAACACAGGTATCGTGATCAAGCGCGTAATCACGGTAACTCAGGCAGCAGCGTACGAAACGGGTAGTTTAGTGATCTAGATGTGCTGCGCCACACACGACTTTCAGCTTGCTTCACTAACAGATTCCACATCCTTCTGGCCACCGGCCACGGGACATGCGTACAGCTCAGGCAATCTTCGGTGAACCGAGCCGAACAATGCAGCCCTGGATGTGAGATTATCTGAAAGAATTCATTGGGGCGAATGATTGCACGTGAAAACAGAGATCAGCACACGAGAAAGTACTATTTCCAAGAGAGGCATTGTTACTGTATAGTAAGATGTAGCTGTGACATTATATGGATTCCACTCGGAGTTGTTACCCGAGCTCCCAATCCTCGGAAGGTATATCTTCCCGGATTGCACAAGTTCGGTTGACTGCTGGAAGCTCCCGGGTTGAGAGACATCCATGTTCTCGCATGATAATGGGAGTTCTGCGTCGAGTTCTAGAGCTACATGAAGGGGACAAAGTGACGGGATACAGGCAGCTGACCATGGCGTCCAAAGCTGGTATGGATTATACCAGAATGATTCGCGGGTATGACTTAGACACGACGGTACTGGCTTCCAGACACTGAGCGCTTTGTTTTGCACAATAAATGTCTTGTATGGGTTTCATCATCTTTCACATCCACCTTCTTCTTGTGGTCCTATTCCACAACCGACCCAAGCTGGTTTTGGGTAGGCCAAGAGTCAATGCCGGCTCGAGTTTCTACTTCATGAGCTAAGCCACAGGAGCTGACGATGTTGGGATACCCCATTCGGCCTTCAATGCGTTACTGATCCACGTCGTCGGCCACACATGGTTTTTCTCGAAGTTGTTTAAAAGCTGTACTACCTGATCTCTCTCTTTTGGGTCGCATACAAGAGGTCCCCAGATAAAGATGGTGTGACAGACGGTGATTGCTAGTGGGACAGTCTCCGGTGAGCTATTACTAGCCCCGGAAATGGCGCGAGCATGCGTCAAGATCTGATTCTACTTCAATAAGCAAATGTTCGTGCTGTTTGGTAACTTTGGTCCTTACATCTGTTTCAGACAGGCTGCCGACGTTGCGGATTGCGAACTTGGGGCCTGGCTTGTATCGAAGCAACATGATACAGGCAAAATGATAGAACCCAAACGATACAGCTGATGGTAGTGTGAGCATTTGCGTGGAAGGACATGTTAGATAACTTACCGTGCCAGTCGGCTGTGAAGAGAATCTCAGGAAAGCAGCCCCCATCGCCGGCTGGGCCTTCGAAAATTGCATTGAAGCCGTCCGGTCTACCATGCATCCACGTCTGGACAAGATCCCACAGCTCGTTCCATCGCCGCATCTTGTAAGCCTTTTCGTTTTGTGGCTCCTTGCCGTCGAAGCAGAAGTTGACGACACATGCAAGATTCCAAGTCATTTGATTGGACCAGGCCGTCTCCAGTCTTAGTCGAGCCAGCGGGTGCGCATCTCGTAGTGAGCTTGGGGTTGGGTGTAGCTGCAAAGAAAAATCGATATCAGGGGGTTGCTGATTGATAGTGGCATTGTAGAGGCACTGGCGGACATAGACCCAAAAAGCAGCTTCGCGCAACGTGGGCGCTGATGGATCTACATAGTGATTTCCCTGAGAAGATCGAATAATGGCCGAACAGCCTGCGAGGTGCTGTTCATCATCAGAACCGGTACTGGACGGGACTAGAAGGACTTGTTAGGCATGAGAGACGCAATGCATACTATAGTACGCACCATTTAGCTGCTCGTAGAACCGCAGTATGACGATCGCACACAAAAGCGTTTCGTCGTGGCTAGCAGCTTGCTCATTCAATCGTTCGATGAGCAGGGCGATGCAACGCTGATAGGCCGCCTCGGCTGTCGCGTCTTTTCTGCAGTGGCGAGCAGCAAATGACATGACGGCATGGCAAAGTACCGGGCATTGTTTGACCTTCTCCGGTACGCCCAGCGTAAATTGACGAGTGGCGTCGGTGCAGTCAAGCCAGCGGCCAAGATGTTCGGTGTAGTGGTGCACGAGCAAGGCCTCTTCATGCGTCAAAGGAACAGGCCGGGGTGAGTAGTTTCTAGTTCCATCTGGCATGTCTCTACGGTTATGCGAATGCGCATTCGGCTGCTGCATGGCCTGGCGGGTGTGCATCGGCAGCGAGCCCTCTGGCATGCCGTCCGGGTCGTGCGACTGCAGCAAACTCGCCACCGACACGCCACCCGTTGTGCTCTTAGATCGGGGAACAAAGTAAGGCGAGCCTGGCGATAGCTGAGCCGACGGTGAGGAGACGCTGGTCGATGGGCCTTCCGATGTCCCATCGGTCCGACTGTTTTTCCGCCTTCTCGGTGAAGTGTTCCGGCTCAAGCCTTCCTCGCTGAAACTGTTTGCACGAACGGCTCCTTCTGTTCGACTGATGTTATCGACCCCATCGACACCGTCAACATCCATCAGGTCCTCTTTGGTCTCGGTTTCCTCATCAGTACCGCCGGCAGCAGATCGACTGGAAGAGGGCCCGTCAGGCCGGTAGTCCTTGAACTTAGTATGAGGCTCCTCCCACTGACAGGGACGGTTTTTCTTGCCGCATGCTTTGCATACTGGACGGGTCTCGTCACCTGGGAGGACTATCAGTACGGCAAGGAGTGCCTGGAAGCAGGACACTGACATTTGACGCGGCGCGCTCGACATGTAAGGCTTGTGCAGATCAGCGGACTTTGTCGCCGCAACCTCATGGATCCACTTACCAGCCGCTCCTAGAGCGGAATTTACTGTATGAAGTCAGTAATACGTTTCATGTGTAGGCTGGGAACCGGAGTTACCCCATGTATAGGAAATCCAAATCCCAGGTTCGAATCGAAGTGTACCTGTCGCCGTATTAGCTAGTGGGGATGTGCCCTTCGCCTCGAGCCCGATCCCTCGACGATGGCGCTCGTCATGAATCGACAAAATGGCTAATATCGGAAGTGCGTACCACAACTACGTAATTGTGTCGTTTCAGGGACCCTTCGGACGACTTCTGGAGTTTGCGCGTAGCCTTTACCGAAGCAGTGACATCTGTAGGATCCTCTCGGCAATCTTGGACAGAAATCAAGAGCGCTCAAGCAGGGCACGTGGAAGCGAGGCAGGTGTGGGCTAGATATGCTACGGAGTCGCAGGCTGTTCAACTCTCCGACGTAGTCTTGATAACATTAGTCATTTGCCAGAGTATATGCTTTACCCTCTGACGCGCTGAAAAGGGGAGTTGAGCGTATAACTCACCCGTCGAAAACGTTCGATGGCCGGTCTGTCGGTCGATGCTGGGTGGATCGGGGTGCAACGTCACGCTGTTGCTCATAGACTAGACTGTGTATTGAAGATACGGCATTCGTGCAAAGCCCATGACTGCCTCGATGAAGGCCAATCTTCGATACTGGACCTCACCCGCTCAATGCTGGTGGCCCTTGCTAGGTGAAAGTTGGCTGCGGGAAAAGATCCCGCAGCCAGTCAGAGCCCGTAGAAGGGCGGCGCTCGGATCCCAAACCCTCTCCAGGTGCTTAGGTAAGTGGGTATCGGGTGCTGAGACTTTGCTATGCACCCAGTGTCTTGTGTGCCCCGTACGCAGGGCCGCATCTGCCCAAAGATCTCGAGGATCAGCCCAGTCCCGCCAGTCTATCGGTCAAATACTCTGACAACTGGCCGCCGGATGTGATTCTAGTCCAAAAAGACTGATTCGTATCGAGGTCTCGAGCAGGTCAAATAGCTACCTGAGGAAGCTCATCAGCACGAAGGCTGCTGTATTTCTTGAACTACCAGTACTACTCTTCAGCTGTACTGGGTCGCGATCCACAGCAAGCGCAGACTGCATCCGCATCGGGGCTGCTGACCTACCTCTCGAACTGCATCGCCAAGAGTTGCTCAGATTAGCATAGTTCAGAACCTCGTTTCGACGTTGGAAACCAGAGCCTTCGCACCCTGACGAGACTGCCATCCTCAACGCTCGTGTTGTCTTGCCGTCCACGCGTGCGCCCACGAACTCCCCGATCACACGAATCCGTCCTAGCCGAGACCATCCACACACCCTGCCCGCTGGCAACACTCCTTAGCCGTACCTGCAATGACCAACTATCGCAAGCACCGGGCCAGACGTGGCACCCAACGAATTTCCGAGAGAGAACAGCCGGACCATACACTCAAGACCGACTGACAGGAGTTCCGCAAGCAGTGAAAGCGTGCGACACCACAGTAACACTGCTTAGCGTGAGCTTCGCAGGCCGAGAATACGTACGAATCTCGACGGTGAACCGAATGCATGAAATGTGGGCGGATCCCTTGGTAGAGGACCCTGTACCGTTGAGCCTTTGCAGTTGCGTCCCCGCACACTCAGAAATGACTTGGAAACCCCGGAGCCGGATCATGGAGCGCGCGGAAGGTGAGATGCCAGCAAAGGTGCCAGCTCAGGCCGAGCCTGATAATGGAGATTCGGCATCGCAGCCACATTTCACAAGCGCAGGCGCCATCCAGCTGATATTTCCTATTATCTCACGGTCACAGATTTGCTTCTGCACTTCATCTGCGGACGCCACCGGCGCGATCTGGACACCCGCTGTCGTCGAGGGTCCCAAGTTCCTACGAGCACCTTTCAAAGCCAGATTCGCCAACTGCGTACCACGGCTTGCGAGCAGCAGTCCACCGACTGACGAAACGGCAGCAACTTCACGAACACTGAACCGTCGCGATCGTACCCATTCTTAGAACCCGATTCACGTACACGGCCGAATTCGATCTGCAGGATTACCATGTAAAAAGCCTACAAATCCTTGTTTGGTGACCGCGCTTGCATATTGTAGGTGTTAGCATACATCGCATCAGAAGATTCAGAACACGGCGGACGAGAGACATACCGACAAGCGCCATTGCCGTTCCTGTCTATAAATGATTTGCAGACAGTCGATTCGTGATCGATGTTCATTGTGGCTGACGGCAAAAACACGCCAGCAGCTTCGTTGGGTGCGTTCAGTCGAAAAAGACGTAGCCAGGTATAAATAGAACACCTGCGGAGAGAGGTTCGTAGGGGACTTTGTGTCAGGAACGGAGTAGGGAAAAAAATAAGGCGGCCGAATACAGCGCTACAAGCATAGCATATGCTCTGCAAGATTTTGAGCGCGTTACGTGTCTACGTAAGACTACATGCAGCTCATCGATCGCACGGCAGTAGACCATACACTGGTGCGGAAGGATCGGATTCTCTTTGCAAGATCGGGTTTTAGCGAAACCGCATGGACCATGATGGCATTTCTGAGCCACCATGAGGGCAGCCTTACACAACCGCTCGATACGCCCACTTATATCCGTAAAAGACTTTCGAAGACTGGCATGCGATGGACGGAGACGAATGCTTCGGGGCGAGATTGGTCCAGCGAAAGCATGCTCCGCGGACCAGTCGGTCCTACCACTGCCTCGCGCTAAGTACCACCCTGTGGTTTGTCAGTGGGGATAACTCTCCCGCGGGCCTCTTGCCACATGGATCCAGAGTATCGGATCAGCTCAAGTAGGTATGGCTGATCATACCTAGGTAGCCTAAACGTAAATTCAACGTCCACCCATCAAGAGCAGATGAAGAGACGAGCGCTCATGTGAGGAGAAACTTTACAGCATCATACACGGACATTATTGCATCAGGGTGTGATCATCAGGGGACAGCAGAACCCATGTTGTAGTCTTTGGCGCTTAAAACGCGTTTTGTCGCGTGGATAGGCAGGCTTGTACGATTGTGGAAGCATTGGCAACGGCAACGTGAGCGTCAAGACCCGCTTGCCATGTGATTGTAATCCGCGACTGCACGTTGGGGTATGTTCTACACGCACAAAGTATTGTTTGCAGCAGTGTCATACTCCAGACTACTAATGATCAGCCAGTGTGCATGTGACGATACGCCGATGAAGCCCAACCCTGCGGCTCAACTTCCCTCAACGGTCGCTCGCCTTTCCAATCAACGCCGCAGCGCGATAAGAAGATGCAACAGTCATGGCAGCTATCGAAAATATATGGGGAGGCTTCTTAGCCCTAAGCCATAACAGTTCCGTGATCATTTGACGGCCTAAGCGATGTATCGATGGGCAACCAGAGGCGTGAAGACTCGCAAGTCATTTGGTCAGTCCATTAGTCCTCAAGCAAGTATGCTCTGTCAAGTCTGTCTTCCTTCGTCGTTCTCTTTCACCTTCACTTTTCGACCCCCGCGTTCCACACCTCGAGTAGTACCCTAGAACGGGGATACTTGGGCCAATTACGAGACCGCACCCGCGCGCTCGCACACCGGCTCACTGCACCGAGTGACCACAGCAAACACGTTCTATCCTCGGCGGGTCCTCACCTCACTTTCCTCAGTCACGCTCACGCTCCGTTTGCATTGATCCGCTCCGGCCTGTGCTTCCCTTTTGTTTATTTCTTCTATTCTTTCTCCCCTCCCCACCTACTCTTGAACCCACACAAGAAAACACCGCTCCGACCATCGCCATGGCTGTGTTCAATCTCTTCAAGATGCTCGCTCTCCTCCTCATCAGCTTGGTCGCAATGACCTCCGCTTCACCCATCGCTGCTTCCACCGAAGTATCAACTGCTGGTCTCAACTGTCCGGCTTGCGTAACCTCGATTGGCAAAGTTTGCAAGGACAGGAAGCTCAGCGAGTACAAATGCGACACCCTGTGGTGCCTCAGTCTGGTAAGTCTTCACCCGCCTTCTTGCTTGCATTGGCGAGATGAGTTGAGCTGGGCGAAGGTAAGGTCTAACAACATGTAGATGTGCCGACAGTGCAACCCACACTGTCCACCCATCGGGGATGCTGGCGTTGGTTCAGCTGTCGCTGGACCCGTCGATGTCTCTACTGATGTCTCGGACACTGTCTCCACCAACGCCTTGGTCTCTGCCATTGACGCGGCCGTTGCCGACATCTCTTCTACTTCTGTGGCTCCAGCGGCTAAGCGCGACGACTCACTCGCCATTCCCGGTGATGTCTTTGCTGACGCCAATTGCTACCGATGTATATACATCAACCTGTTCTGCAAGCAAAACAACCTCACTGAAGAAAAATGTCTACCCATACGGTGCAATGATCCCGACGTAAGTCTCTATTCCGGTGCGCTATCTTCTGGATGGCGCGCCAACCTCTCATAGCCGTCTTGATTACGAGAGAAAAGAGACTGACAGCCTCATAGTGCAACGTCTGCAGCCGTAGTTGCCACAAGACTCAGCAGGTCGATGCATCAGACCCCGCCACCATGGAGGGTGTCGTTGCCGACATCTCTGCTACTTCCGTGGCTCCAGCGACTAAGCGCGAAGAAGCTGCACAGAAATGCGTCTGGATCTGCTTCCATGTGACGTGCACGCGCCAGTGTACCGACGTCGCTGGAGTAGCTGCTTATGCAGCCAACGGCGCGATTGTCATCGACGAGTCCGAGCTCCATGCCGACACGTCCATCTCCGTCACTGCAAACCATACGCAGCTGGAGAACAACGAGCATGTTGAGAATGCTTTCCTCTACCACTGCGACTTAACCTCTGGCAGTTGCTGGGCTGAGACCGTTCTTGAGCCAGTAGCTGGGACCGAGACCGCCATCGAGAACATTCCAGACATTCCACACAAGGTCTGCCGCGAGATTTGCAACACAGACAAGTCGCTCTGCGGACTGGTCTGTGATGAAGAAGTGAAGAAGGAGACTGCGACCAACGACCCCGTTTCAAAGGCTAAGATCAAGTGCCACTGGGAGTGCTATTTCGGTCAGTGCTGGGCGGTCTGCATGCCCGACATGGGCGGCGCCGCCAGCGACTCCAGCGACGTATCATCCGCCAACGTAGCAACAAACTTCAAGCCATGTCGCTGGGAGTGCTACTTTGGTCAGTGCTGGACTTGCTGCCCTCCTCCTTGATCGCCTGTCCAGGTTCACTAATCGCGCCGCGCGATTTCCGTGGTAAGATATAGGTCTACCCCCACTTTACAGGATACAACTGACCTCTACTAGAAGCTTGTTCTACACGGTACTTGAGACATGGAATGAATTGTAGGGAAATTTCGGACGCCTTTTACAAGTACGCTTGGGGTATAGATTAGATCTCGTCCATAGTAGCAATGGAACTCAGGCTTCACATCTCTGACTCGAAAATACAAAATGGTGGTGATGTGCAAGCCAGCTGGTTTCAGCCTGTTGATGTCGCTAATGCAACGGGATAGTTCATTATACTGACTGAACAATCATGGCCAACGTTACTCATCTACCCTCTTTCCCATATGGTACAAGTTGTACTACAACATGGTATATACATTCGTTTTTCACGCGACAAAATCCCTCTCTTGCCCATGTCTACATGCCCCGCGCCTTCAGGAATGTAGCAATCTCGGCAGTGTGATGTCCCTTGACAATGACATGTTGTGTCACGCTGTTGATCTTGACGTCCTCGTTCTTTTTGTTCAAGAAGACTCTCAGCTCGTCCCTCAAAGCAGATAAGTCACCGGTGACCTTTCGTACCGTCGTCAGATGCAAGTTGCCTCCTCGCTTGTAGTCGGTGTAGATGGGCAGGTTCTTGTTCGCAGATCTCGAGACGGCGTACTTGGGCGGTGGTAGAGATAGTTTGGGGGCGCGCGGTGTCTTTGGCTTCTTGGCGACCTTCTTCTGGAGCGTCGATGTTGTGTCGGCTGTGTCTGCGGGCGCGGTCGAGGGCATGGGCGCGACGTCATCGGCCTTTGCGGGCTTCGCTTGCGAGGGTGTCTGTTCTGGCTTGTTGTCGGACCGGGGGTGCTTGGAGGGCAGCGTCGGCTTCTGCTCGGGCGGTTGCGCGCTGTCGCCTTCGGTGAGAGACTCTGCTGCGGCAAGGTCGGCGGCGCGTTGGGCTTCTTGGGGTGATGTCGGGTGTTGCGAAGAAGCGTTGGGTGGGAGGGATGGCTGTACGATGGGCTTGGAGTCTGGCGGCGGTTCTATTGAGGGTCAATTGGTGTACCTATTATACTGGAAGAATGCATAGCTTACGCTCAGCCTGCCATCTTGTCGCTGTAGAGAAGCGGAAGTGCGGCCGGCATGCGATGGCTCTTGGGGCGGCCAATGGGCGCAGGAGCGGGACGAGAGACTGCAAGCGAGGCATTGTGAGGGAGCGGTGCCGGTGAAAGTATGCTACCACGTGTCGAAAGGTCGAGGGATGTGTCGCGAGGGCCGTGGGGTGAATGCTGCGGCCATGGTCTGCGGCTCAACTCCAGAAGTAGCGCCTGGGGTCCCTCGCGCGCACAGTCCGGCTGCTTTTTTCGTTTCCGAGCCCACCCCACCACGCTCGACATCGCCATAACTCCTCCCACCACCACAACCACCCACCATGGCGGACTCAGCGGCAACCGGCGCAAATGTCGCCGAGCAGTACTCGCTGCTCCCCAAGCTCATGCCCAACCTCGACCGCCATCTCGTCTACCCGCTCCTCAACTTCTCCAGCGATGAAGACGCCGACCAGACCGTCGAGCAGAAGAAGCTGCTGCTCGAACTGCTCAAGCCCACCAACATGACCGACTTCGTCGGCCAGCTGCACCAGGAGGTCCACGGCCTCGACGACATGTCCGACGAGTTCAAGACCAAGCGCGACGAGGTCCTCAAGAAGCGCGACCAGCTCGAGGAGGCCACCAGCAAGATCAGCGGCTTGCTCGACGACGAGAACGTCGTCACCAACCTGCGCAGCGACAAGCAGCAGAATTTGGCATACCTCAAGGAGAGCCATGGCGTCGACTTGGACATGATCAACCAGCTGCTCGAGTTTGGCCAGTTCCAGTACTCGTGCGGTGTCTACCCACACGCCGCTGAGCTGCTCTACCGCTTCCGCGTTCTGGTATGTTTCTACGAAGCCCTGCGGCATACTGGTTACTAACGTCAGCAGACCACCGACGGCGACAAGGAGCGCGAAGCCACCTGGGGAAAGCTCGCCTGCGAGATCCTCTCCGTCAACTGGGACTCGGCCATGGAGGAGATCAACAAGCTCAAGGAGATCATCGACACGCGCCTCTTCAACAACCCCCTCGCACAGCTCCAGCACCGCACCTGGTTGATCCACTGGTCGCTCTTCCCCCTCTTCAACCACGAATCCTCGCGCGAAACTCTCACCGACATGTTCTTCTCCCCCGCATACATCAACACCATCCAGACCAACTGCCCGTGGATCCTGCGCTACCTCGCTGCTGCCGTCATCACCGGCCGCAACCGTGGCAGGAACTCGAACCAGTACCAGAAGCAGCTCAAGGATCTCATCAGGATCGTGCGACAGGAAGGCTACGAGTACAACGACCCCGTCACCGACTTCATCAAGGCTCTGTACATCGACTTTGACTTTGAGGAGGCGCAGAAGAAGCTCAGCGAGACGGAGGAGATTCTGAAGAACGACTTCTTCCTGTTGGGCGCCGCAGACTTGTTTGTCGACTCGGCGAGACATCTCATCTCGGAGAGCTACTGCAAGATCCACCAGAGAATCGACATCAAGTGAGTCATTCTACAATTCTCGGCGCTTCCAAAACCGTACTAACTCACGACTAGGGATCTCTCGACCCGCCTCGGTCTTTCACAAGACGAGGGTGAGAAGTGGATCGTCAACCTCATCCGCGACACTCGCGTAGACGCAAAGATCGATTACCAAGCCGGCACAGTCGTCATGAACCACCCACCACAGTCCGTCTACCAACAAGTCATCGAGCGGACAAAGGGAGGCTTCTTCAGGACACAGGTCCTGAGCGCAGCTGTTGCGAAATGAGCGCGCCACATTACAGCCGGTCGACTCGTTCGTTTCATAATGCGGGGGGAAGCTAACAGCTTCTGGGGAGGCGGGGAGACTATGATGGGGGACACGATGACGATCATGAAAGGGATGAAGGAATGATCGAAAAGTCTGGGTTCGGCATTTGGCGCTTTACGAATCAGGCGTGGGCAAGGCTCGCGCACTGCATGCATGGGTATTGGCGTCCTACCATGGCTCTAAAAAGGGCCGTCTGTGTTCCTGGGCAACAGCGCATAAACGCTGTGCAAGTAGTGAATGCGAAATGAGTAGTATCCAAGAATCAACATCAGCAATCAAACAACACTATATTCACTTTTTCCTCAACCTATCATACACTTTCAGTCTACTCGATAGACTTGCTTTCACCCCTGCTCTTCCTAGTCCATGCCCACAGATCAAGCATAGTACCTGGGCTCGTTGAAGACGTGATACCTATGCCCTCTGACACCCTGACCCTTGAACAGCTCCGGGAACCTCAACCCGGCAGGAACCTGCGACTCATGCAGAAGCTCGTTTCCGTTCTCCGGCTCGCCAACGACGAATTTACCAACCTGCATCACATGATTAGCACACTGGTCTGACGCTAGGAAACCAGAAGGAAAACTTACCTGGAGTTCGGTATCCGTGATGGTATGTCTGGAAACACGGGCATATCCACTCCTCTTCAGGCCCTTGTAGAGAATGTACTCGCACCATCTGTCCCAGTCTGACGCGTCGATATCCTTCATACCGCTCTTCTCACCCACGTACGTGTTGTAGTTGCCCTCACCGGGTTTGATGACGAGGTACGAGAGGAGGATGGCAGGACGCGGCGTGGCTTTCATGCGTTCAGCCAGGTATTCTGATTGTAGGCGGCGATCCTCGGGGTCCTCTTCCTGGCCCGAGTGGAAGACGAAGATGTCGATCATCTCACCGTAGGCGTCGATGGTAGCTTCGATGGCCGGGGCAAGCTCGCCGACAGGTGAGGGGAGAAGATGATGGGTTGAGTTTACGATGGGGAATTTGGAGAGCAGTGCTGAGCCCCATGTGTGCTTGTTGGGTCCTGGGCCGAAGTCGACGTACATGCCTAGGTCTTCGGCGAGGAACTGCGTCGTGTCGCGGTTGCCCATGATGATGCGCTGCAGATCGCTTTCGAGGAGTCCGATGACGTCGACTTCCATTTCCTTGATGAGGTCGCGCATGCGGTACTCTGAAGACCACATATCGTTGTCAAGTGAGAAGTGGATGGTCCAAATGCCAGCCGTGATGGACTTGGTCTCCGGGTGATACGGCTTGTAGTCATAAGACGGGAAGCGTAGGTAGGCGGTGGCAATGGCGATCAACTCTAGAGCACCTAGAACGTAGAGGTAGTAGGATCGTTGCCTAGTGGCAGCTGCCGTGATGACAGCCTTGCCCTTGTAGCTCTTGAGTGCTGGCGGCTGAGCAGACACACTGAAGATACCGGCACCGATCTGGAGCATCATGGCTGTCATAACCCAGTCTGTGTGCTCGCGAACAAGCGGTCCGCCGGGAACGAACGCGTACGCTACTACCCAGACGTGGAACAGAACCATGAAGTTGTACACCAAGAATCCAAGACCGAATGTGCGGCCTGGTGAGTGGCGCGCCGCATGGGCAATGAGAACAGGTGCTGCTGCCATGGTGTACATGGCGAGGACCAAGGCTCCATAGAAACCAGTCCAGTGGCTGGTGGTTGTCAAAACGGCAGCACCGATAGAGCCTACGCCGTAAAAGGCCCATGACCTTGAGAGGTTGGGCGCAAACAAACCGATCATAAGACCCAGGCCCATGGCTAGGAGAGTCAGGGTACCGTGGGGTACAGCCAGCGGACCCCGAACAGGGTAACCTTCCCATACCCAAGAGATCATCGTGCTCGAATCGGAGAGAAGCGAGTGCATGGCGAACATGACACCCGCTAGGCCAAAGCTCGCAAAGACAGAAGACCCCTTAGTTGGGCCTTGAGCTGGCACATCTGCGCCAGAACTGGCGGTAGATCTGGTCGATATGAGTATCGAGAAGAGAGCTACTACGAATCCAGTCCTGTTCCATCCGCCGTTTGCCTCGTGCATGATTGGCCAAATCGGGTTGTTGGTCCAAAAGGCAAACTTCGCAATGCTAGAGGCGATCAGAC